GGATTTCCCTTTTGAAGAGTAGTTAATCTCCGGGCCCTTTGTGTAATTTTTTGCTACAATGATATAGAATCTCAAGATTTCCTAGTGTTACTTTTTTCTAAAATACGAAAGAATTTGGGGATCCCCTGAGGCCTTTTTTTTAGAGAAACTGAAAGAATCTCAGGGGGGGGGGGTCTATGGTTTTTTCACTAAAATATGAAAGAATCCTGGGATCTCCTTGTCTTGTTTTAACTTTAAGGATCCCGGGGTCCTCTTATGAAGAGAAGTTTAAACAATCTATGGCCTTTTTCGATATTTTTTGCTACAATGCGATATAATTTCGTTTTTCTAAAATACGAAAGAATCTGAAAGTCTGCTAATGTAATTTTTAAAGAAGCTTAAAGAATGTTGGGGGAGCTTGGGTTTTTTTTCCCCTAAAATATTAAACTATTCCGGAGTTCCCTGATAATTTTTTTTAACTTTAAAAAATCTCGAGATCCTCTTTTGAAGAGAACTTGAAATAATTTCGGGGCCCCTTGCCATAGAAACTGATTGTCCCCTAGTGTTACTTTTTCTAAAATACCAAAGCATCTACAGGTTCCCTAATATCCTTTTTTAGAGAAGCTGAAAAATCTTGGGGGGGCTAGGTTTTTTTCCCTAAAATGTGAAAGAATTCCGGGGTTCCCTTGTGTTTTTTTTAAACTTTGAGAATCTCGGATTTCCCTTATGAAGAGTAGTTAATCTCCGGGCCCTTTGTGTTATTTTTTGCTACAATGATATAGAATCTCAAGATTTCCTAATGTTACTTTTTTCTAAAATACGAAAAAATTTGGGGATCCCCTGAGGCCTTTTTTTTAGAGAAACTGAAAGAATCTCAGGGGGGGGAGTCTATGGTTTTTTCACTAAAATATGAAAGAATCCTGGGATCTCCTTGTATTGTTTTAACTTTAAGGATCCCGGGGTCCTCTTATGAAGAGAAGTTTAAATAATCTATGGCCTTTTTCGATATTTTTTGCTACAATGCGATATAATTTCGTTTTTCTAAAATACGAAAGAATCTGGAAGTCTGCTAGTGTCATTTTTAAAGAAGCTTAAAGAATGTTGGGGGAGCTTTGGTTTTTTCCCCTAAAATATTAAACAATTCCGGAGTTCCCTGATAATTTTTTTTGACTTTAAAAAATCTCGAGATCCTCTTTTGAAGAGAACTTGAAATAATTTCGGGGCCCCTTGCCATAGAAACTGATTATCCCCTAGTGTTACTTTTTCTAAAATACCAAAGCATCTACAGGTTCCCTAATATCCTTTTTTAGAGAAGCTGAAAAATCTTGGGAGGGCTAGGTTTTTTCCCTAAAATGTGAAAGAATTCCGGGGTTCCCTTGTGTTTTTTTTTTAAACTTTGAGAATCTCGGATTTCACTTTTGAAGAGTAGTTAATGTCCGGGCTCTTTGTGTTATTTTTTGCTACAATGATATAGAATCTCAAGATTTCCTAGTGTTACTTTTTTCTAAAATACGAAAGAATTTGGGGATCCCCTGAGGCCTTTTTTTTAGAGAAACTGAAAGAATCTCAGGGGGGGATCTATGGTTTTTTTACTAAAATATGAAAGAATCCTGGGATCTCCTTGTATTGTTTTAACTTTAAGGATCCCGGAGTCCTCTTATGAAGAGAAGTTTAAATAATCTATGGCCTTTTTCGATATTTTTTGCTACAATGCGATAGAATTTCGTTTTTCTAAAATACGAAAGAATCTGGAAGTCTGCTAGTGTCATTTTTAAAGAAGCTTAAAGAATGTTGGGGGAGCTTGGGTTTTTTTCCCTAAAATATTAAACAATTCCGGAGTTCCCTGATAATTTTTTTTAACTTTAAAAAATCTCGAGATCCTCTTTTGAAGAGAACTTGAAATAATTTCGGGGCCCCTTGCCATAGAGACTGATTGTCCCCTAGTGTTACTTTTTCTAAAATACCAAAGCATTTACAGGTTCCCTAATATCCTTTTTTAGAGAAGTTGAAAAATCTTGGGGGGGCTAGGTTTTTTCCCCTAAAATGTGAAAGAATTCCGGGATTCCCTTGTGTTTTTTTTAAACTTTGAGAATCTCGGATTTCCCTTTTGAAGAGTAGTTAATCTCCGGGCCCTTTGTGTTATTTTTTGCTACAATGATATAGAATCTCAAGATTTCCTAATGTTACTTTTTTCTAAAATACGAAGGAATTTGGGGATCCCCTGAGACCTTTTTTTTTAGAGAAACTGAAAGAATCTCAGGGGGGGGGATCTATGGTTTTTTCACTAAAATATAAAAAATCCTGGGATCTCCTTGTATTGTTTTAACTTTAAGGATCCCGGGGTCCTCTTATGAAGAGAAGCTTAAAGAATCTATGGCCTTTTTCGATATTTTTTGCTACAATGCGATATAATTTCGTTTTTCTAAAATACGAAAGAATCTGAAAGTCTGCTAATGTAATTTTTAAAGAAGCTTAAAGAATGTTGGGGGAGCTTGGGCTTTTTCCCCTAAAATATTAAACAATTCCGGAGTTCCCTGATAATTTTTTTTTACCTTTAAAAAATCTCGAGATCCTCTTTTGAAGAGAACTTGAAATAATTTCGGGGCCCCTTGCCATAGAAACTGATTGTCCCCTAGTTTTACTTTTTCTAAAATACCAAAACATCTACAGGTTTCCTAATATCCTTTTTTAGAGAAGCTGAAAAATCTTGGGGGGGCTAGGTTTTTTTCCCTAAAATGTGAAGGAATTCCGGGGTTCCCTTGTGTTTTTTTTAAACTTTGAGAATCTCGGATTTCGCTTTTGAAGAGTAGTTAATCTCCGGGCCCTTTGTGTTATTTTTTGCTACAATGGTATAGAATCTCAAGATTTCCTATTGTTACTTTTTTCTAAAATACGAAAGAATTTGGGGATCCCCTGAGGCCTTTTTTTTAGAGAAACTGAAAGAATCTCGGGGGGGTCTATGGTTTTTTCACTAAAATATGAAAGAATCCTGGGATCTCCTTGTATTGTTTTAACTTTAAGGATCCCGGGATCCTCTTATGACGAGAAGTTTAAATAATCTATGGCCTTTTTCGATATTTTTTGCTACAATGCGATAGAATTTCGTTTTTCTAAAATACGAAAGAATCTGGAAGTCTGCCAATGTTTTTTTAGAGAAACTGAAAGAACCTCAGGGGGGGATCTATGGTTTTTTCACTAAAATATGAAAGAATCCTGGGATCTCCTTGTATTGTTTTAACTTTAAGGATCCCGGGGTCCTCTTATGAAGAGAAGTTTAAATAATCTATGGCCTTTTTCGATATTTTTTGCTACAATGCGATAGAATTTCGTTTTTCTAAAATACGAAAGAATCTGAAAGTCTGCTAATGTTTAAAGAAGCTTACAGAATGTTGGGGGAGTTTGGGTTTTTTTCCCTAAAATTTTAAACTATTCCGGAGTTCCCTGATAATTTTTTTTAACTTTAAAAAATCTCGAGATCCCCTTTTGAAGAGAAGTTGAAATAATTTCGGGGTCCTTTGTGTTATTTTTTGCTACAATGCCATAGAATCCGATTGTCCCCTAGTGTTACTTTTTCTAAAATACCAAAGAATCTAGAGGTTCCCTAATATCCTTTTTTAGAGAAGCTGAAAAATCTTGGGGGCTAGGTGTTTTTCTCTAAAATGTGAAAGAATTCCGGGGTTCCCTTATGTAATTTTTTTTTCTAAAATGCGAAGAAATCTGGAGGTCCCCTAATGTGTGGTTTTTTTCTTCAGAAAAACTGAAAGAATCTTGGGGGGGGCTGGGTTTTTCCCTTAAATGTGAAAGAATTCCGAGATCATTTAGTGTTCTTTTTTTTAACTTTAAGGATCTCCGGGTCCCCTTTTGGTAAGAAGTTTAAATAATCTCGGGTCCCTTGTCTTATTTTTTGCTACAATGTCACAGAATCTTGGACTTCACTAGTGTAATTTTTTTCTAAATGTCAAGGAATCTTTTTTTAGAGGATTGCGGCAGCTGAGGTTTTTTCCTTAAAATGTGAAATAATTCCGGAGTCCCTACATGTTTTTTTAAACTTTGAGAATCTCGGAGTTACCTTTTGAAGAGTACTTAATTAATCTCCGGACCCCGTGTGTTTTTTTTTTGCTACAATGCTATAGAATCTCGAGGTTTCCTAGTGTTATTTTTCGCTAAAATGTGAAAGAATCCTGTGGTCCCCTTGTGCTTTTTTTAACTTTAAGAATCTAGGGGTCCTCTTATGAAGAGAAATTTAAATAATCTATGGCCGTTTGCGTTATTTTTTGCTAAAATGCGATAGAATTTCTGGATTCCCTAATGTTTTTTTTTTCTAAAATACGAAAGAACCTGTCTTTTTTAAAGAAACTTAAAGAATGAATGTTGTTTTTTTTTCGCTAAAATATTAAACAATCCCCAAGTTCCCTAATGTTTTTTTTAACTTTAAAAATCTCGAGCTGCCCTTTTGAAGAGAAGTTGAAATAGTCCTAGTATTTGTTTCTTAAAATGCGAAAGGATCTCGGGACGCCTTACTGTCTAGAAATCTTGTCAAGTCAAATGTCAATTATCTGTCATAGTCTCGGAAAATAATTACCCTGTTATAAATAAACGACAAATAAAAGTCTCTAAAAAAACTGCTTGTTTCCACTATACAAAAAAAAAAAACGCATGTTCATTGACTTGTTTACTAGCAAAGTATTTCCGTTTAATCTATTTCCATTAATAAAGATAAATAATAATTGTATGAATACATCGTTATCCGACAGCAGTATTAATCAGAATATCAGAGATCGCTTACAGGATCTGCCATCAAAAGAGCATGCGTTGAATTGTAAAGTTTGGACAGTGGTTAGTTATGTTATAAGATAATCAATATATTTACTACTACCCTATGTAACAATGTGATAATTTACATACAGTTCCACTACAACGAAGTCTTTGTTTGACAGGTTGCCGTCAACTCTAATTTACGTTCCCTTTTTCATATCAATTATGCAAGCCATCATTTGTCAATTTTTTTTTTTTTGTTACAGAGGGATTATGGAAATTCTGTGGACTCGACCAACCCACCGGAAAAGGTAAGAATAAAAATTATCATTGCAACATATAACAAAATAAAGAGAACAAAAAACAGAACAAGATGCATTAATAAAATACACAGTGTTCTATTTCAAAATCCTGAAATTTCGAAAATTGAAACAATATATTGGTTGTTTCATTCTGTACAATTGAAACTAATTTGAGTGTGTAGTTCATACAAGTTTCGCCTTTCACTATTTTTATATTTCTAATAATTAGTGACGCACCCTGTAGATTCAATTGATTGTAATATGTGATGAGAAGAGAACACCCAGTTTTTTGAAAAGTATTCAATTTCGTTGTTAACAGCTAGTTGTAGTACTTAACTCCTGTACAAATGTATCGTAAATGTGTCCATCAAGATAACTGTACTTACCTGTAGAGTCATCTTATTGGACACATTTACAGCAGGGACTAAAGGATAAACCTAAGGGCTAACAAAACTTGTCTCCGCTGTGAAGTCACTTGGAAATAGTGTTAGTTTTACTAATACAGTCCCTTTGAGATTAAAACACCAGAACTTGGTTTAACAATATTTGAGAATACCTGTTGCTAAGGAAAATCAAAAAAATTATGCAAGTTATGTAAGTGTCTTTCTCACTGCAGCTTGCTCTATAAATCTTTATATCATCAGCAAATACAACAAAGTTTCTCCTTAGACTAAAGCCAATATCATTAGCAAATAATGAAAAAAGTATCCGACCTAGAACAGAACCCTGAGGGACTGCTGATGTTAACACTCTGCCTGCATGAAAGCAATAAATGTCAAAAATTTAGTTTTGCGTCCTTGGCCTTGTACTTTTGTCCAACATCACACGAAATGTTTAAAGCTTCAGCTACATGCTTGAGCCCAATTCAAATCCAGATAAAACGTCAAAAATAATAATCATAATAATATAAATAACGTAAAAATTTACTTCCACCCACCGCCGCTCCACCCCGTTGACAAAATAATTTACCGAGATCCGTTACTTGGTGGTCCCAGCCCTACTCCCCCTGCCCCCTTCATTAACCCTCCTCGGCCGTCAAAGCCGCCGCGATCCGAGCTGTCAATCACGGCGGTTCCCTGCTGTCTCCCGGTCCGTACCTGCACCGGGCCCAGCACACCTGGTCCCTCGCATTATTCCCAATCCGTCCGAACGAAACGCAAACCAAACTGGAATTCCGTTATTACAAAACGCGACTGAGATTTCTGCTCTACTCTACACTAATTACGACATCCATCCGACTTTCTCCCGACCGGCTCAAATGTCAGTCAAATCACAATGGCCCAGAACGGGTTCGCTGCGGTGTGGGCCGCGATGGTACAAATAGCCCTAAGATGTTTGCCGAAAGAAGACGAATTTTACGCAAGAGTTTCGCTCCGCTGAGCTTTCGCAGCGGATGATCGTCAGGTAGAGGACGGATTGCCGGTAATTGCTGGGGGTGGGTGCGGAGGGTGGGGGTTTTATGGGTGCATGGGCTTGAAGGTAATGGATGGTCAGTTCGCAAATCGCAAGAAGTAAATGGGTGGAAGGAAGTGGTTTGGAATGTATGGGTGTCTAGATGTACGGATAACATTGAAATAGATCATAGATTAGTTTGTGCTTTTGTTGGAACGACAAATTCCAAATTGGGGTCACAAATATCACAATATTATAGATTTTTTAGTTAAAGAATTGGTGTAAAATCTCACTGGTGTGTCGAAAATTTAAGCGGGATAATGAAACTAAAACAAAAAATCGGCACCGGGAATTTATGCAGTACTTTCCTCAAACTCAAAAGGGTGAACTAATGCTTGTCAGGGTGGGTTGGGTGAGGTCAGATTTCTTCAGTGATATTTTTTTCTAAAAATTTATCAGACGATTTATCAGAGATTTTTTATTGTCTTAAAAAGTGAATCTTGAAAATGTTTACGAATACTGAACGTGCTCACTGCGCTCGCATTTTAAACATTTTTAGGATAATAAGTTTGGAGATTTCTTAGAACACCAAAACCTAGGTAACTTCGCCCAGATTCTTTCTTAATTACTTTTATAAGAAGAATAAACTCCTAAAAAAACATGTTAATGATGCGAGCGTAGCGAGCATTTGCTGATGTTATTAAAAATAAACTATTGCTGTTCCTGAGAAACTAAATTATTAATAAAAAATTGGTCAAAAGCTGTTTCGACAGAACTTCCCTCGCACCTAAAGTACAGTGAAACATTTTCAGCATTTTTGCAAGGACACGTATATCACCTTGGATTGGTCCACTGTAATGCTAAAAATAACAGTATTCAATTCCCAAAATTTTCTGGAAAAATGGAGTGAGCCGGTCCTGATATAATCAATAAAATAAATTGACACATTTATTTTTTTTAAGCCACCTGTTAAAGCAATTCTAAAAAATATGAGTGTGATGATAAATCACAAGTAAAAACTCATCACATTTTGCGAATTTCGGATAGATTTAGGAATTTAACTCGTTACCATAGAAATTTGCAATTTAACACCTTTAAATTTTACAAGTTTTTACAAGATTAATAGCGGCAAAATCAGTTTTATGTTAACAAGTACTTGGCCCGCCCACCCGCCCCCTATTTTATCAGAGGATATGTCATTTGCCGAAATAAGTCTTATCTTAGCAAGTCCTAGCCCTGCCCACCCTTTCTTTACCTTCTTATTAGAGGCTATTTTATTTGGCAAAATCACTCTTATTTTACCAAGTACTAGCCTCGCTGTTTAGAATTTTTGGGATTCTAGTGTCTTTGAGATTTTTAATATTTTTTAAATCTTTCCGATAAGGAGAATTTTAGATTCATTTAGAATCTTTAGTATCCTTACAATTGGAATCTCCATAATACTTCAAATTATAAGATTTTTAAGATCTTTAGAATATCTCAGTCATTAGAATCTTGGAAATTTTTAAAGACTTTGAAACTTTTTCGATCTTTCCCCATTTTCAAATTTTGGAATCCAAATAATTTCTAAAATTTTTAGGTTTCATTGCTAGCATTTCTAGAATTTTTAGTACCTAGACCATCTCTAGAATTTTTAAGACTACGGACTGTTATTAGTATTGACACCTTTAGAACTTTTGAAATTTTGGAACTTTTGATTACCTAGAAGTCTTAGAATCTTTAAAAACTCCACGGCATTTAGAGTTTTTAGAGCCTTTACAGTTGTTGCAGTCCTCAGAGTACTCAAAGTCCTTTTCTTTTTTCGAGTTTTCTGCACAAGAAATTCTACAATATTTTGGGTCTTTAGGTTGCCTAACTGTAATTTCTAGAATCTCTAATACTTTCACGATTTTTAAGTTTTTTAAGTCTTTCTTATATGTAGTATTTTTACTTCAGAATCCATAGAATTTCTAGAATCTTTAGAGTATTTAAAATTCCAGTGCCTCTAGAATTTTTAGTACCTAGAGAATTTCTATGATTTTTAATAGTTTAGAGATTGTATCATCTTTACAATTTTAACAATCTCTGAAATCGAGTAATCCGCTTAGAACCTGGTGAATTTTGAGAATATTTGAAACCTTTAGAATATTTAGAAATTTTGGAACTTCTTTCACTTTAGAATCATTGCAAGTTTTTACAGTGTTTACAGCCTTCTCAGAGTGCTCAAAGTCTAGAATCTTCAGATTTTCAGTAAGTCTAGAATTCCTGGGATCTCTAATGCCTTCAGAATCTTTATGATTTTTTTTATATTAGAATCTTTTCTAATTAGATAGAATTGTTCGAATTTTTCAAATCTTTGTTATCTTTAAAATCCATAGAATTTCTTTCTAGAAACTTTAGAACATTTGAATTTTCAGCATCTCTAGAATTTTTTAGTACCTAGAAGATCTCTCTAATTTTTAAGACTTTTTGGATATTTAGAGATTTTATCATCTTTGCAGTTTTAATAATTTCTAGAATGGTGAAATCCGCTTAGAACTTGTAAAATCTTTGGAATATTCGAAACCTTTAGAATAAGTATTTAGAAATTTTGGAACTTTTGATTACTTTATAATCCTTACAAGTCTTAGCAGTTTTTACAGTCCATAGGATTTTTCGAATCTTTCGAATCTTTGGAACGTTTGGAATTTCCAGGATTTCTAAAATCTTTACAATTTGCACAATTTTTGGGATTTTTAGGCTGATTAATTAGAATTTCTGGGATCTCTAGTACCTTCAGGATCTTTAAGATTTTTAGCCTTTCTTATATGTAATATATTTACTTCAGACTCCATAGAATTTCTAGAATCTTTAGAGTTTTTAGATTTCCAGTGCCTCTAGAATTTTTTTAATACCTAGAGAATTTCTATAATTTTTAATACTTTCGGATATTTAGAGATTTTATCATCTTTACAATTTTAACATTCTCTGAAACCTTGGAATCCGTTTAGAACCTGCTGAATTTTTGGGAATATTTGAAACCTTTAGAATATTTAGAAATTTTGGAAATTTTTTACTTTAGAATCCTTCCCAGTTTTTACAGTGTTTGCAGCTTTTGCCGTTCTCAGAGTGCTCAAAGTCGTTAGGATTTTTCGAATCTGTGGAAATTTTGGAATCACCAGGAGTTATAGAATCTTTAGAAATTCTAGAATCTTCAAATTTTTAGTAAGTCTAAAATTCCTGGGGTCTCTAATATCTTCAGAATCTTTAAGATTTTTTTATATTAGAATCTTTTCTAATTTATAGAATTATTCGAATTTTTCAAATCTTTCTTATCTTTATAATTCATAGAATTTCTTTCTAGAAACTTTAGAATCCTTACGAGTCTTAGCAGTTTTTACAGATTTTGCCTTTCGAATCTTTGGAACGCTTGGAATCATCAAGATTTCTAGAATCTTTACAATCTCTACAATTTTCTGGATTTTTAGGCTGCCTAGTTAGAATTTCTGGGATCTCTAGTACTTTCAGGATCTTTAAGATTTTTAAGACTTTTTTGTATGTAGCATCTTTAGTGTACTTACAATTGGAATTTTTCTAATCTTTCTAAGTCAAAGGAATTTTAAATTCTATAAAATATCTTGAATCATTCGAATTTTTGA